ATAGGTTTTCTGATTTTCTGAATTAGTTTACATATTTGCTATAATGAAAGAAATATGTCAAAAAACATTAAATTGACATCATAGGATCATTGTGAAAGCCTTGTTAATCATTTAGAATAGAGCTGGAAGGGACCTTGGAGGTCTACTAGTCAAACTCCCTGCTTAAGCAGGAGACCCTATGCCATTTCAAACAAATGGTTGTTGAGTTTCTTCTTAAAAGCCTCCAACAATGGGGCACTCACAATTTCTGAAGGCAAGCTGTTCCACTGGTTAATTGTCCTCACTGTTATAAAGTTTCTCCTTAATTCTAGGTTTCTCTCCTCCTTGATTAGTTTCCATCCATTGTTTCTTGTCTTGCCTTCTGATGCTTTGGAAAATGTTGATCCCCTTTTCTTTGTGGTAGCCCCTCAAATACAGGAATACTGCTATCATATCACCCTTAGTCCTTCTTTTCTCTAGACTGGCCATACCCAATTCCTACAACTATTTTTCATATGTTTTTGTCTCCAAGCCCTTAGTCATCTTAGTTGCTCTTCTTTGCACTTTTTCAAAAGTCTTAACATCTTTTTTGTAATGTGGTGATCAAAACTGGATGTAGTATTCCAGGTGTGGGCTTACCAAAGCTTTATAAAGTGGTACTAATACTTCACATGATTTTGATTCTATGCCTCTTTTTATATAACCAAGGATTGTATTAGGTTTTTTGGTTTCTGACACACGTTGCTGACTCATGTTTAAGTGATCATCCACTAAAACTCCAAGGTCCCCCTCACAGTTATTGTTTTTGAGCCAGGTTTCATCTAATTTGTACTTGTACCTTTGGTTTTTCCTGCCTAAGTATAAAACCTTGCTTTTCTCCACATTAAATTTCATGTTGTTGGATTGGGCACATTGCTCAAGTCTTTTTGGATCCTGAGCTTCTGGTGTGTAGACTAATCCTGCCAGGTTAGTGTCATCTGCAAATGTGATGAGTTTCCCTAATATTCCTTCATCTAAGTCAGTGGTTCTCAACCTTTCTAATGCTGCGACCCCATAATACAGTTCCCCATATTGTGGTGACCCCCAACCACTTATACATCACTGGGTGCCAGGGGCGTGGCCAAAGAAAAGGGGAAAAAAATGGCGGACAGCCTTGTTTGGCGACCCCCGTGAAATGGTCGTTCGACCCCAAATGGGGTCCCGACCCACAGGTTGAGAACCACTGATCTAAGTCATTTATGAAGATATTGAAAAGTACTGGGCCTAAGTCAGAACCTTGTGGTACCACACTGCTTACTTCCCTCCATTTAGATGTAATACCATTAAGGACTACTCGTTGAGTACGGTTTGTTAGCCAGTTACAAATCCATCTGGTGATGATGCTGTCTATCCCACATTTTTCTAGATTACCAAGAAGTAGGTTACAGTCTACTTTGTTGAATGCCTTGCTGAAAACTAAATATACTATGTCCACAGCATTTCGCTGGTCTACTAATTTAGTCACTTTATCAAAGAATGAAATAATATTAATTTGGCATGATATGTTTTTAACAAACATGTACTGGCCACTAGATATAACTTTATTTGTTTCTAGACGTTCATAGATTTGTTTTTTTATTATTTTTTCCAGTATCTTCCTAGGTATTGATGTTAGGCTGATTGGTCTGTAGTTTTCTGGGTCTGTTTCCTCCCCCCCCCTTTTTTTTGAAGATGGGAACCACATCAGCTCTTTTCCAATCCTCTGGTTGTTCCCTGGTGCTCTAGGATTTTTAAAGATATGGTACAATGGTTCTGAGATAACATCTGCCAGATCCTTCAGAATTCCAGGATGTAACCCATCAGGTCCCAATAATTTATATTCATCAAGATCAGACAGGTGTTCTCTTATGCTTAACTTAAAATTTAAACCTTAAAATTTAAGCTTTGCTTTTAGTTCTTGTTTGTAATTCATAAACAAGTTATATATGGTCCTTTTGATAATATTTTTTTCTTGCCTTTTTCTCTTGATAGAAAAAATTGCACTCTAGCTTTCAGAATTACCTTGTACTTTTTAACTTGTACCTTTGCTTCAAGAAAGAGACAGTAACATTTTAAAAAATACTTAGGAAGTTTAAATTGTTTCAATTTCCATCAAATAGTTACTTAATAGAAAAGGCGTTCTGAAGACTACACTATTAAATGTTCTTAAATGAGTCACTTGTTCTCTGTAGTTATAAATACACTCTAGGAAAAAAACCTCTTCGTTTCTGTACGGTCTTGACAACTCAAGATAATGTACCCTGGATTTGTGGAAATAACATGTTATCCCTGCTCATGATTAACTGGCGTCCTATTGATAGAAATAGAGAAAAGAGTCCCACAAACCTGTTAAATTCTGTATCTACATCCATCAACGTACAGCAGATGTATTTTAATGTACATAAAACTTGACCTTCATTTATTAACTTATTAAAAATAATTTTTACAAATTTCTGAAACCTAACTGCAGAAATCTAAGATTCAGCAATTCTGATGACACTTAATGAAATATTGATATTGTAATGTTATTTTGAAGTGGATTTTTCAGTAACTTATTTTATGTATGGACTATTGCACAAGACCCCATATTTTCTCTTTAAAGTATTCTCTGCAAACATGGATTACAGTGATTATATATGATGATCTGATTATTCCAAATTCAGTGTTTGAGTGTACAGACAAGTTAATATGTTTTGGTCAAGCAACATCTGTTCTCACTAACCAAGAAATTGTATATATATTTGAAGAATGCTTCTCTCCCCTGCTTTCTGAAAATAAGTCTATCAGTGGTATGAATTGTCTAACACAGTGGTTCTCAACCTTTTTAATGCCGCGACCCCCAACCGGTCGTAAGTCGAGGACTACTCAACCGGTCGTAAGTCGAGGACTACTCAACTGGTGCAGCACCGTTTGCAGAATGGGACTTTTGGCGGGCTCAGCAGGGCAGAGACAGCTTGGACAATTCCTATTGGCTTTTGAAAGCCAATAGAATTAGACTCTATTCAAGAGAGTCTATTCTATTGGCTTTCAAAAGCCAATAGAATAAAAGGGAGTAGCGCAACTAAGGAAAAGGGGGAAAAAATGGCGGACTGCGTTGTTTGGCGACCCCCGTGAAATGGTCGTTCGACCCCCAAATGGGGTCCCGACCCACAGGTTGAGAACCACTGGTCTAACAGCAGATAATTGTGGAAAATTATAACAGGTGGTCCTTGATTTATCCCATTCATTTCCACCATTGTCTGAAATTGTAATGGTCCTGAACAAAAGGATCATAATCTGTACCCAAGGTTACAGCCACTGCAGTGCCCCCATAGGGACCTGAATAATATTTGATGCTTAGCAATCTGCCTGCCCTTACAACTGACCACAAAGATGCTACAGCTATCCTCACCTGCCTGTCTTCTCCGCATCTTGTCTTTCTGAATCCCTTGGGCTACTTCACACCACATCCTTGTGTCTCTCCTGCCCCATCATATCTTGCTCCACTTACTTCTTCCAAAGATTGTCTTTTCCAAGAAGAAGTAGCTGATGCACCACCCAACCTTCCTATACAGAAACCACATGGTGCCATCCGAAGTGCAGATGCCATTTTAGAAGCAGCTTCAAATTCAATTTGAGAATTGTGGCCACTCCTGAAAATGTGCTTGCTCTGGAATGGCACTAAGTGGCCTCTGTATGGGAAGGTTGTGTGGCAAATTGGCTGCTTCTCCTTAGGAAAGACAACTTTTGGAAAAGGTAAGCGGAGCAAGACTTGTTGGAGAAGAAAGAAGCCCAAAAAGTGTAAGACCCAGCAAGGTAGGAAATTATGCCTCAGAAGTCAGGGAGGCCCTGAGAGGCCTGACATAGTCCATTGTTACCTGGAGAAATGCTACAGTGCAGGCCTTCCTGCAGCTCGGAAAGCAGGACTGTGGTCATTAAACAAAGTGATCATGTAGTTGCTTTGCTTAATGACCACCATGACTTATAATAACAATTTTCATAAGTTGAGGGCTACATGTATGGATGTCTCATTCTTGAGTCTCATTCTTGCTTTCCTAATGTGTCTCTTCTGAATATGAGTGGGCCTACTCTGCTATTGTTAATTTGTTCTTCCTCATATTTATCTAGTATGGAAGCAACTTTTCAGACTAAAAGTTTTATTAAAAAGTCTGAGGCTTCATAAACTGAACATAATACTTTTAATAAAAATTTTAGTCTGACAAGGGGCTACCAGACTTCTCATGATTCTTGACTATTGTAGATTAAACCAGCATTCCTCATTTTATTTAATTTAATACTTTATGAATGTGGACAACATAATGTTGTTGTAGATGCATTTGAATGCAGCCTGTGATCATTTCAACATACTGACTTATGCACAGAAAAGAATAGATACAGCATTGTTAGCAGAAGTTCTAATTTTCTTAGTAATGAATGAATACTTGAAATGTAATTATATAATACATTGTTTAAGATTTGGATTATTAATCTAGTATTAATAAAATTTACATTTGTAATTACTAATTAACATTAGTAATTACATTAGATACTGTGTGAATAAACATTGTTACCTTTCTGTGCATGTAACTGTTAGAAAATTGGTTCAGACTTAGGAATCACTGGTCATTAGTGAACTTAGGTATGTCCTACTTGGCTATATAATATTGTAGCATCTAATATGAGAAAGAAGTTGCATTCACAACTTATATAGTATAGGAACAGAATGAGTGCGTTTATTGTAATACTATATAGTTACAGTTCAGTTCCGTTGGCTACAATGTCTAAATCTTGGAATTGGCCCTTAGAGCCGCTCTCTTATTTGCTATTGAATTGAAAGGAAAAATTATCAGTTCAGTTTCTGCTCTGGTTCTGCTTTCTTTTCTATATCAATTCAAAGGGCAAGTGCAGTTCTGTATAATAAAAAATAAAAAATAAAAATTGTGAAATCTTGCTGGGATAGTCCCAGTTTGTAGGAAAAACATATTAGAAAATTGACACGTATTTTTTATGCTCCACAATTTAAGGCTGAAGATTAAGAACACATTCCAATATGTTGGATGTGGATACAGGGATCGTAGAAGAGTGGTTATCAGAATTCAAGGTAATCCATGAGTTTTGATTTATAAGAAAATTTGAAACTGAACAAGTGAATTATAAAATACATATTCTTATTTTTTTCTTAAAGATTACAATATAGAATGTTAGAATTAATACTAAACTACTTTCCAAAAGTGGTAATAGAAGAGGCCATTACCCTCTTGCCAATGCTGGTAAGATTTTTGAATGTACCTGCTTGATCAGTGTTTGATATAGTGGTATATTTAATTTAACAGACTTTTTAAAAAAATAGAATGGTATCTGTTAAATGATCTATTAAACTGTATATCTTAAATGGTTTTTGTTAGACAGTACCAGAAACATCTATAGCAAGTTATGCTAAAAATTTGAAAGACAAGATTTCCTTGGTTTCATCTTTATATAAAGTTATTCAAGATCTACAAAATGAGGTATGTAGATATTAATTAATTAATTATTGGAGTTGGGGCAAACATTGAATAAATTGCATAGTAACATGATGACAAGAAGTAAAAAAAATAGCTTTAATATTCTTAAATGCAGAGAAGGCCTTTGACAATCTAAATTGGACTTTTATGTTTAAAGTGCTGGAAGAAATAGACTTTGGAAAGAATTTTATTCAAGAAATCAAAGCTGTTTATATATCACAGCAAGCAAAAATTGTTATTAATGGTGATTTAACCAATTCATGTAAAATTCAAAAGGGTGCAAGACAAAGATGTCCCTTTGTTTATTTTGGTGTTGGAAGTTTTGAACAGAGGTATCAGTCAAGATGAGAAAATAACAGGTATAAATATCAAAAAGGAAGTTTATAAATTGAGGGCATTCGCTGATGATTTGGTTGTATTCTTGCAAGACCTAAAAATAATATAGAATATTTGATGAGGCAGTGAAATGAGTTTGAGGTTTTAACAGATTTTAAAATAAACAAATAGACACCAACAATGCTTATTAAGAATATGACCTCACAGGATTGAGATATATTGACTAAAAAGTCTGGTTTAGGATTGAGAAAATGGTGAAATATTTGGGGGTTATATTGTCAAATACAAACACAAAACTGTTTCAAAATAATTATGTGCCTCTCTGGAATGATATTAAAAAGGACTTATTAAGATGGGATAAACTGCCTTTATCATTATTGGGTAGAATTTCTGTAATTAAGATGAATGTCTTACCAAAGATACTTTTTTTGTTTCAGACATTACCAGTACTTGCAACTGATACTCCATTTAAACAATGGCAAATGAATATTTCTAAGTTTAAATGGCAAGGGAAAAACCAAGAATTAAATATAAACTATTGCAAGATATTAAAGAAATAGGCGGTTTGAGTTTACCAGATTTGAAACTGTATTTCAGTGCTTGTTGTTTAGTCTGGCTAAATGAGTGGGTGAACCTTCAGAATAAGAGGCTATTTGATTTATTTAGAAGGTCATGAATGAATTCAGATTTGGATGGCACAGTTATTTATGGGATGACAAAGTTAAAGTAAATGTTGATTTCAACAATCACTTTGTTTGATGTGCCATTCTAAGAGTTTAGAATAAATATAAAACAAGTTTTTTATGAAGATGCCTCTTTGAAAGTTTTTTTTAAAGAAAAGAAATAGTGGCAAAGCCGGACTGGTGGACTTATGGTAAAATAATATGTTTTAATTTTGGTAATCCTATCCTCAAGTTTAAGGAAGAACTAGAATCAGAAGGACATGTCTGCCACTGGTTTACATATCTATAAATGAAAGAAAGATGAGTCAAAAAGAGCAATGGGTTTGACTTTGTTAAAAATGAATTGGAAATCCTACAGTGTGGTAGTGATGAACATACCATTGTTAAGGACTATAAAACATTGAACTTGAATTTGGAAAGTGAATATGTAAAGCATTTAATGATTCAGTGGGCAAGGAACTTTGGATATAATATATATAATATAATATAATATAATGTAAACAATGGGAGAATATGAGGACAAAATTAAAATTTACATTAAATCACAATTTAAAATTTTTTTATAAGATGATGTATGATTGGTATTTAACACCAAATAAGTTATCAAGAGTATATAAAGGTACTTCAAATGAATACTGGAAATGCAAATGTAAAGAAGGGACTCTATTATTTATGGTGGGCATGTGATAAAGCAAAGAAATATTGGAGTAGGATTCATATTCTAATACAGACGATTCTTAAAGTGAATACAAATATAAAATCAAACCTTTCTTTTGGGTTTAAGGGAAAAAGACTTGGAAATTTTTTTTGGAAGTTTGATATTATATATGTTGACAACAGCAAAATTACTTTATGCACAAAAATGGAAGGATGCTTTAATCCCCACAATGGATGAATGGTTGCAAAAGCTGATTGAATTAGCAGAGATGGCTAAATTGATCGCTTTGTTAAAAGAAAAGAACACAATTACTTTTGTTTTTATTTGGAAACCACTTCTGGACTTTGTGCTTGAAGTGGAAAAAATGAAACTTTGATTTTGGGTTTTACTGATTAGATAGATCTGTTGTTATAAAAATGGCTAGTTTATACTATTATGTAAAATAAAAAGGTGAGTCAGAAGTCAATGCCTTTTCTTTCTTTTTCCCTTCTTTTCTATACTTTTCTCTTCCCCTTTCCCTCCCCTATTTTTTCTATTACTTGCTTTTGTATTTTTGTATTTTTTATATTATACACTAATAAAAAGGATAATATAGAAAAATAAATAATAATAATAATAATAATAAAGTAAAAAAATAGAATATAACTATAGAATATAACTTTTTATAACTATAAAAATAGAATATAAAAAATAGAATATATACTCAAAATACTCTTTTAGGTCTTAAATAATGTTTGTTGATATTGCTCTACACAGCCATGAAAATTAGAAATTTAATTTCTAAATGATGTGCTTTTATCTTGAGCAGTTTTGAAGTTGAATATAATTATAACGTGCATCTTTTCAAAAAAAGTAAAGTCTTCAGGAAGGATGATACTTATTACAATTTTAAGCAATGAGGATTCAATTCCTTCTCTTGCTATATTCCTAGTGAACTATACATTAAAGGCACACATTAAAAGGGTTTTTTCTTCCATCATCTATGCAAAGTTTACATCTGTTGAATAAGATAAACAAATGAGGCATACTAAATACTGGGAACCAATATAATACTTAACAAATGGAATCTTTTGAAGTAGTGAGAAAATGCATCTTATAGTGAATAGTTAAACATTGCCAAATGTTTAATGCTTCTTTTTCTTTCAGTTGCTGGAACCAGTCTGTCACCAGTTATTTGAATTTTATCGCAGTGGTGAGGAACTTCTTTTGCAGTTCACACTTCAGTTCCTTCCAGAATTAATATGGTGCTATCTTGCTGTTTCTGCTAGTAAAGACCTACAAAGCAGTGGCTGCATAGAAGCACTTCTACTAGGAGTTTACAATTTGGTTTGTATCTAGACTTAGAATTCATTCATTCAACAATTTATATGTTACTAAATCCCCCCAAAGGCCCTAGATGTCATTACATTTCATTGTTTGATATCATTACAGTGAGGGAAAAATTTTTGATCCCCTGCTGATTTGGTACATTTGCCCACTAACAAAGAAATGATCACTCTATAATTTTAATGGTAGGTTTATTTTAACAGTGAGAGGCAGAATAACAACAAAAAAATCCAGAAAAAAGGTTATAAATTGATTTGCATTTTAATGAGTAAAATAAGTATTTGATCCCCTATCATTCAGCAAGATTTCTGGCTCCTAGCTATCTTTTATGTAGGTGATGAGCTGAGATTAGGAGTACTCTCTTAAAGGGAGTGCTCCTAATCTCATCTTGTTACCTGTATAAAAGACACCTGTCCACAGAAGCAATCAGATTCCAAATTCTCCACCGTGGCCAAGACCAAAGAGCTGTCCAAGGATGTCAGGACAAGATTGTAGACCTACAGAAGGCTGGAATGGGCTACAAGACTATCGTCAAGCAGCTTGGTGAGAAGGTAACAACAGTTGGTGCAATTATTCGCAAATGGAAGAAACACAAAATAAGTGTCAAGGAAGGATCTTGTCAATGATCTCAAGGCATCTGAGACCATAGTCACCAAGAAAACAATTGGTAACACACTGTCATGAAGGACTGAAATCCTGCAGCACCCATAAGATTCCCCTGCTGAAGAAAGCACATGTATAGGCCTGTCTGAAGTTTGCCAATGAATATTGATTCAGAGGAAAGTTGGGTGAAAGTGTTATGGTCAGGTGAGACCAAAATCGAGCTCTTTGGTATCAACTCAACTTGCCATGTTAGGAGGAGGAGGAATACTGCCTGTGACCCCAAGAACACATCCCCACCATCAAACATGGAAGTAGAAACATTATTTTTCTGCTAAGGAGACAGGACAACTTCACCGCATCAAAGGGACAATGAATAGGACCATGTACTGTCAAATCTTGGGTGAGAACCATCTTCCTTCAGCCAGGGTATTGAAAATGAGTCGTGGATGAGTATTCCAGCATGACAATGACTCAAAGCACACGGCCAGGGCAACAAAGGAATGGCTCAAGAAGAAGCACGTTAAGGTCCTGGAATAGCCTAGTCAGTCTCCAGACCTTAATCCCATAGAAAATCCTTGGAGGGAGTTGAAGGTTCGAGCTGCCAAAAGTCAGCCTTGAAACCTTAATGACTTGGAGAGAAGTGGGACAAAATCTGAGATGTGTGCAAACCTGGTGGCCAACTACAAGAAACATCTGACCTCTGTGATTGCCAACAAGGGCTTTGCCACCAAGTACTAAGTCATGTTTTGCGAAGGTGTCAAATACTTATTTCACTCATTAAAATACAAATCAATGTATACCTTTTTTGAAATGCATTTTTCTGGATTTTTTTGTTGTTATTCTGTCTCTCACTGTTTTTTTTTTTTTTTTTATTAAAAGTTTTATAAATTTTACAAGAAAAACAAGAACAATACAGAACAAAAAACAACATATACAAAAGAAAAAAAAATTAAACAATACATATAAAAAAAAAAAAACCCCACCCCACACCCCTCCCAAAAACCCTCCCTTCCCCCCCCCTGAGCTTCCCAGAGCAGAATATAGGCTTAAGAAATAATAAAAAAAAAAATAAAAATTAAATTAAAAACTTTATATTTATATATATAAAAAAGATATCTATAATATATATAAAAATAAAACTTATGAAAAAGCTATATGATATTTTTGTATACCCAATCTAAATTGTATAAATTTTATCCATTTGTCCCAGATAGCAAAAAACTTCTCTTGCGTTTGTTGCTTTAAGAAAGCCGAAATCTTTGCCATTTCCGCCAGATAAGCTACTTTAAAAAACCATTCCTGCAATGTAGGCAAAGATTCCTTCTTCCAATATTGTCCAACTAACAGCCTCGCGGCTGTGATCAAATTTAACATCAATACAACCTCCTTTGTATCACAATCTGTAACAATACCTAACAAAAATAATTGCGGAGTAAATTTTACCCTCCTTCTAAAAATTCTCTGGATATTCCACCATATTTTGATCCAAAATGCTTTTATCTCTCTGCATGACCACCAAATATGATAATAGGAAGCCTCCTTATAACCACATCTCCAGCATTTAGGTTGCACGTCAGGGTACATGTAAGACATTTTTTGTGGATCAAGGTGCCATCTATAAAACATTTTATAAAAATTCTCCCTTAAATTCTGTGCTTGAGTAAATTTGACATTTCTCACCCAAATAATTTCCCAGGTGTCCAATGAAACTGGCTCACCAAAGTTCTGCGCCCATCTAATCATACAATCTTTAATTAGTTCCGTTTCTGAGTCCAATTCAACTAAAACCCCATAAATTCTCTTAATGTGGGTTTGTCTTTGATCCTTCAGTTGCTTAATAAGATTTTCATCTTCTCTAAGAAAACCCACCTTACAATCCATCTTCCATCTATCTAGTAGTTGCCTATATTGGAACCAAGAATAAGTAAAATTTTCTTGTGCTAATTCTTCCCGTGATTTTAATTGCCAGTTTTGTCCATCCCATTTAAGTAACTGTCTATAAGACACCATATCCATTTTAACCCCTCTTTTTATTCCTTCTATCGCATGCCAAGGTATAGCCCATAATGGTACTTTAAAATCACTTTTATAATATTTTCTCCAGATCCTAAGTAAAGAAATTCTTAAAATATGAGATTTAAAAGCCCAATCTATTTTTTTATTAAATATTAAATAGGCATGCCACCCATAAAGTAAATCCCATCCCTCTAGATAAAGTATCTCAGAGTTTGTCAAATTTACCCAGTCACTAATTAATGTTAAAACCACCGCATCATAATATAATTTCAAATTTGGTACCTTGAGTCCACCCCTCTCACGGAAGTCTTGCATAATTTTGAACTTAACCCTTGGTTTTTTCCCTGTCCAAATAAATTTATTGAGACCCTTCTGCCACTCATTTAAATTAATCTCGTTTTTCAAAATTGGTAACATTTGAAACAAAAAAAGAAACTTGGGTAGAATATTCATTTTTATCACTGCAATTCTTCCCATGAGGGATAATTGCAGCTTTTCCCAGTTTTTCAAGTCTTTCTGTACCCTGACCCACAACCTTGCATAATTATTTTTAAATAATTTTGCATTAGAAACAGACAGCATCACCCCCAAATATTTTACCTTATTAACAATCTCAAAACCCGTCGAGTTAACCAAAATCTGCTTCTCCTGACTCGACATATTTTTAGGTAAAATTTTAGTCTTATTTACATTAATCTTAAAACCCGAGACCAAACCATAATGGTGAATCAACTGTAATAAGTTTACTACAGAATAATCAGGTTGCGACAAAGTAACAACCAAGTCATCCGCAAAAGCTCTCAACTTATATTCTTTTTTATTAACATATATTCCTTTAATTTCCTGAGACTCTCGAATTTTAATCAATAATATTTCCAATGTTAAAACAAACAACAATGGCGATAAAGGACACCCCTGTCTAGTACCTTTCTCTATTGTGAAAAACCTCCGACAAACCTCCATTAACAATAAGTTGTGCTGTTTGTTTTTGATATATTACCTTAAGAGCTTGTAATATGTTTTCACCAAAATTCATTTCTTCCATTACTCTTAGCATAAAATGCCAATTCAGTTGGTCAAATGCTTTTTCAGCATCTAAAAATATGAGCCCTGCAGGAACTTGGTTGTTCTTATCTAAGTATTCTAATAAGTTAATAATTTGTCTAACATTGTTTTTCATATACCTTCCTGTTATAAACCCTGATTGATCTTTATGCACAAGATGATGCACCACCCTCATAAGCCTATTTACCAAAATTTTTACAAATATCTTATAATCCACGTTTAAAAGAGATATAGGCCTATAATTTTTTGGTAAAGTAAGATCTTGATCCTCCTTTGGAATCAATGATATAAAAGCACTACGCCATGAAGGAGGAATCTCTAAACCCTGTAAGATACCATTAAAAAGATCATTTAATGGTTGGATCATCTCCTCCATTAAGGCTTTATAATAAACAGCTGTTAACCCATCCGTACCCGGTGCTTTCCCTAATTTCAATTGTTGAATTGCTGAGGCAATTTCCTCCTTAGTAATTAAACCATTAATTTCATATTTCTGATCCTCAGTCAGTTTAGGAAAACTTGCCTCAGCTAAATATTTATTTATATCTAACAGTTGTACATTAGTAGATTTGTATAGGTTTTGATAATAATCCAAAAAAGATTTTTTAATTAATTCCTTCTGAGAAACTAGTTTACCCTTATAATTTATTTTCTCTATTATTCTCTGTCTCTGTTTCTTTCTTAATTGATAAGCCAACCATCTCCCCGGCTTATTAGCATTACAAAATGTATTTTGTTTCATAAATAATAAATTGGTTGCAGCTTGATCTGCTATCAACATATTAAATTGTGACCTTAATAACTTTACAGATTCTTTAGTACTTTCATCAGAAGGATTTAGAATCAAAGCCCTTTCTTTTAGTTTAATTTCATCTTCAAGTTCTCTACGTTTCTGAATCTGATTTCGCTTATAAAAATTATTCATTTTTATCAAAACACCGCGCATAAATGCTTTACCTGCATCCCATACCATTGACATTGAAGTCCCCTTGTACATATTCAAAGCAAAATAGTCCTTTAAACACTCCTTTAGTTTTTGAACATTCTTCTCTTGTCTAAACAAATTTTCATTAACTCTCCAGGATCTTCTTTCCTCTTTCTCTTGAATCAGCTCCATCCAAACTGGACTATGATCCGTCAGTGATCTAGGAAAAATCTTTACATTCTTTACTTTATTATACAAATCCGTGGTAATCAAGAAAAAGTCAATTCTTGAAAAAGATTGGTGTCTGTCAGAAAAAAAAGTAAAGTCTCTCTCCTCTTGATTACGTTCCCGCCAATAGTCCCTTAATTCCCAGTCTTCTTTCATATCAAAA